GCGATAAAGGCAGAGGCAGACGATTACAAGGACTTGGTGTGGAGAGGGATGAGGAGACGTGACTTCTCTCTCTACAAGGAGTATGCCACTAATAGATGTCCTGATTTCAAGGACTATCCCTGGTCAGAGAAGAATGAGGCCATGGTAGAGGAAGTGAAGGAGATACGGGACATGGTGAAGGGATTGACGAGACAGGTTAGAGAGATTGTGACCACTACAGGGGCCACGGCCTACCGGGACAAACCTGGAGGGCCCTATTCACTTTGCTGGGACCGTAGGAACAACGATTCCTGGAGGAGTGTCGAGGATAGAAATCCCCGAACGCTGACTGATTATCGTGCTAGCGGAAGAGAGAGAGACGATGAGCCATGGCGACGTAGGGATGATGAGATAGACCGAGACCGCAGAGATCGTGAGACGTTTGCGCGAGCAAGGAGGCTGGATGATTACCCGCGAAGCCCTCACTATGAGGCCGATCGCAGTAGAGGCGACTCCCGCGGCTGATGGGAGACAGATCAGGGCCGACGAGATGGATATAGGGACGACAGATACGAGAGATCAGACCGAGATGGATATAGGGACGGCAGATACGAGAGATCGGACCGAGACGAATGTAGGGACGACAGATATGAGAGATCGGGTCGAGATGGCTACAGAGGTGGTAGGTATGAAAGAGGAGATCGGGATTGGGAACAACGAGATGGGTCGTGTGGACGGTTTGAGCGAGGGGGAGATACGAGAGAGCAGCGCGACGAGTCGCGGGGGTGGTACAACCGAGGGGACCGACGCGATGAGTCACGAGGGCGATATGACTCGGGGGACCGCCGGAATGATTCGCGAGGGCGGTATGAGCAAGGAGGGTCTGGAGGAGACCGCCGCAACGATTCGCGCGGTCGGAATGAGAGAGGGGGATATGGCGTCTCATCAGAACCATATCCGAAGTCGCCTGACCCTAAGGCAGCCAGGAGTTCGATCTCTAGAAGCGCAGACGACAGACCATCTACTCCCAGGAACTCATGCATCTACTGTAGAGGAGAAGATCATATCAAAAGGGATTGCCCGGACCTGAAACGGGCAATAGATGAGGGACTTGTCGTGCTTGACGACCGCAAGTACGTCAAGTGGGCAGATGATCTCGGAGATGTATCGATGTTCCCTTCGATGAAGGAGAATGTCGAAGCAAGGAGAATAAAGACGAGTAAAGGAATGGAGCCGGTCAGGAGCCAGAGCATCAAGATAATCTTTGAGGGGGATATCGCGACCACACCCATAAGGGTAGCAGCCACCAAGTCGGCAAGAGGGTCTACATCGAAGAAGACTGACACGGATTACGTGATGACGGAGAAGGACGGACAGTGGGTCGATGGAGAGGAGGTTATCCTTTCGCCGCGAAAAAGGGGAGTGAATAAGTTTTTAATGAAGAGTTCGCTGGACGAGATTGACATGGTTGAGCCACTGAGGCGGGCCCTTCGGCAACCAACGCAGTGCTCTATTCTGGAGTACCTGGCGGCATCGAAGCCGGCTCGTGATGAATTACAGATTATTACGCGGAAGACTCGCATACCTCTATCAGAGGAGGGTCAGGGGGCCCCTGAAGCGGAAGCTTCTACAGTAGCGGTAACGGGGGTGACTGCCAGAGCGGATCACATGGCGACAGTCCTTCTCGATGGGATGGAAGGTGTGTCTTCAGACAAGTTCTATATACTTGGTAGCGGGGCCGTGGAAACGATTATAACGATGGAGCGATACTTGATGCTGTGATTGATAACGGCAGTGAGGCTGTCATCATAGACGTGGACCTGGCAGTACAAGTTGGACTGGGCCTCGATAGGTCATACCTATTCGAGATAGAGACGGCTGATGGGAGAAAGCAACAGATCACTGGGGGTTGTCACAAGGCAGCCATAGAGGTCCAAGGGGTAAGAGTGACCCTACGTGTCCTTGCAGTCAAGAACTGCAGCTCCGACCTGCTCTTGGGTCGAACGTGGCTGAGCCACCTGCATGCGGTGACGATAGAGCGACCTGATGGGAGCCAAACATTGTCCATTAGGAAGCCAGAAGGGGCGCGGGTAATGATTGAGACAGTAGAGCATCGGGACCCGAGGAGCAGAGCAGCTCTCGCTGTGGGTGCAAGACCCAGTGATCAAATTAAGTCGTTACCTATCTCCGGCCGCGCGGTGCGATTTCGCGAGAAGAGATATGGACCACTGCTCACAGAGGAAGAAGGTCGGATCGTGAAGGTGGAAGACTTAGGGAGTCGGCTAATAGTGGACGGCAACTCGTACCCAAAGGAAAAAGATGAGGAATTTGGCGGTGTGGTATCCGTGTCTTATTTAAGGGCACGACCCCCTATGGGGGGCTACCCAAGCGACACAAGCGAGTAGCTCAAAAAGTTAAGCCAGCCGCGGTGGGCCGCGAGCGATCTGCACTGGAAGGGATATCGAAAGAAGAGATCGCGAAAGAAATCAAAGAAAGAAAGAGAAAGGAGCCGCAACGCCTAACGGAAGAGAGGATAGCAGGGATGGACATCGGAGATAGGAATTTAACCCACAGGAGCGAGAACGTGTGATTGAAATCCTGAAGACATGTGATAAGGCCATAACTTTTAGTGACGCGGAGCGCGGTAGGATTGACCCTCGATACGCTAAGCCAGCAAGGATTTACACAATACCACATGTTCCCTGGAATGACGCGGGATGGAAATACGCCCAGCAGGAGAAGGAAGAAGTTATCAGTTTTCTGAAAGAAAAGATGGTTTCCCATGTTGCAGAGCCGTCTGATAGCGCTTATGCTAATCGATGGTTCTTCCTACAAAAGCCGAATGGCAAGATCCGATGGATCCAGGACCTTCAGAAGGTCAACGCGGTGACGATACGAGACGTGGGCTCYGTGCCACACGCCGATTTACTGGCAGAAGGCGCCGCAGGTAGGTCGATTTATTTCGTCTGTGATCTGTTCTCAGGCTATGATGAGGTACCACTTGACCCTAGAGACAGGCACCTCACGGCTATGCRTAYGCCATTGGGAYTAATACAGATGATGGTTGTCCCTATGGGTTGGAYTARTGGGGTAGCCGTTTTTCAGAGAGCCATGGTAGCCGTCCWCAAGGACTTCATCCCTGATAAGGTTGAAGTTTTTCTGGATGACTTTCCTATAAAAGGGCCAGTAGACAGGGATGAGACAGAGGTTGTACCTGGAGTTAGAAGATTCGTCAAGCAGCACCTAACAGATATTTGCGCGGTACTCGAGCCGCTGGACGATGCGAATTTAACAGTCAGCGGAACAAAGAGCCGATGGGCCGTCTCGACTATTAAGATCTTGGGCTTTATATGTGACTCGAGAGGAC